CCTCTTGGAAACACGACGCTTTTTGTGCTTGCAGAAAAGGCATCATGAATGTCTGTGAGCTTTTCTGGGTTGTCGTTGACGACTCATGAGTCCTGGTCATCTTTACGTAAGACAGCAATTACATTTACTTTCCATTGACCTTGCTTAGTAGTGAGTTGGCTTCCTCAAGGGGGCGTCGCATGGCGGAGCCTTCTTCCGGTGCAGCAAGCCCGGCCAGTGATCCTCCGAGTTCGTCGGTTAGCACAGTATCAGTGATCTCTCGCCACGTGTTTGACTTGCAGATTCAGTTGAATCATTTGCGGGAGCAGAATCAGATCTTAACCGATACGCAAGCTTATCTTGAGGAAAGGATCCAGTCACTTGAGTCCTCACGCGAGGTTTCAGAACGACGCCTTACTTGGTTGGAGCAGTTCATACAACATCTGCGTTCGATTTTTAGCCAGCTTCGAGACAACTTTTGATTTCATGGCACTTGTTTTGCTTGAAAAGGCGTTGCAGGCTAGGCAACATGCAGCTCCAGCTGCAAATGTTCTCGCAGTGCCAGCCGATTGCATTAGCAGGGAGCCTTCACAGGTGGCGGCTCCATTGCCAGTTGTGCCTGAATCACAGGGCAGTGCTACCACGCCTTGGGCTCGGCGTGCTGCTCGTCTTCTCAAGCGTGAAGCTTCTGCTCTTGAGGCTGTTTCCATAGCGGATTCAAATGAGGTAGCTCAGGCCACCCTCGTGCCTGCTGCGGTACCAAGTGTGTCTTCATTTGATTTGGATTCCTTCGAGTGGGTCTTTTCTGATGAAGTACTGCCACCTGAGCGCATTTTCTCCAGTAAGGGTTTATGGGTTTCGGATAAGCCTGCACCCCGTCCCGTGCTCATGCAACCCTTGAAGCGCACAAAGATTCCTGAGCCACCCCAGGCTGTACGTCCCACTAGTTTAGCATCCCCTCGACCGTGTATGCGGCCGACAATGTTGCATCACGTCAGTATGGAAGGCCTTGGGTTTAGTCCTGCTCCTCGTCCCACAATGCATGCATCACCGACATCCAGGTCGTTGTTCCATCGCGAGCTTTCGGTTGCAGCAGATCCCCAGCCTCAGGGAAAGGCATTTGTCAGGCCGACATGTAAGCGCGCTCTTCGCCCGCCTCAGCAGCACTCATTTCTTGAGGTCCCAGCGGGACGTGAGGCATCAAGCAGTGGCAGCCTTCATGCAGGGACGAATTTTAGACCTACTAAGGGCAGTGGGACTGTGGAGTTTGCGGTGCAGCATGATGCCAAGAAGCTTCAGTTGGCTCAGGCTCTATGGTTGGAGCTCAAGCCGCTTTTGTTGGAACACTCTGATGTGCTGAGTCAGATGTCGTGCTCCACAAATGAGTTTGTGCTTATTGAAAAATTCTTCAACACTTTGGCCCCTTCCACACTCTTGCGGTACATGACGGCGGTCTTAGCGGTTTTTAGGACAGGTTTCGAGCTTGATTTGCCAGCGATGGATCAGCTTAATCAGGCGCATTTGGTTGATATGCTTTGGGCGACCCACCGGGGGCACTCAGCGGCTGACTTTCAGCCCGTCAACACCATCAAAGCCCTTCGCTGGTTCCGTCGCATGCTCAATCTGCCTCTTCCTGATCTTTATAATGGGCTCGTGGCCATGTTGCTGGCCCCTCGAGTTCAACCGCATAGAGAATCGTACCCGGCTCCTATCAGACTGCTGTCCTATTGCGAGGTGATGCTCTTGGAGGCTCAGATGTCTTTGCAGGACAGATGTCACGCGGGTGCTTTGCTCTTGTGTGCACACGCCTCCTTGAGGTGGTCGGATTCCCAGCGCATTCGCTGGTCATCTTTCGAAGTGTGTTCCGATTGCATTAGGGCCGAAGCCTATAAGACCAAAACCACGCGCAGGGGCATGCCTCTGGCAGCGGGGGTTATGGGGTTTCATGGTACTGCTGGTTTTTTGGAGTTCACTTGGGTATCAGCTTGGCTAGTTGCACTTGGTGATGTATGGCATCGACTGCGCGTCATGCATGGCGATAGCATTGATCCGGACTGTGTTTGGTTTCGTTTTGACGCGGAGACAGGGGATTTCGCGCCCTTATCCTACGCACAGTCGCTGCGAGTGCTGCGCTCGTGGTGCGTGGCATCCGGTGCTTGCGCCACTGGGGCGGAGTCAGTCTTCACTTTGCACTCCTTGAAGTCGGCTTTGCTGTATCTGATGCACCTTCGTGCAGTGGGGAAGGAGGACAGGCTCTCAGCTGGGCATCATCGCCTCGACAGCGCTGCCTTGTATAGCAGATCAGACACCGTGGGGGCGCTCAGAGCTCAGGCTGTTGTCTGCACAGCAGTACGGGCCGGATGGCTGCCTCCCGCCCCGCAGAAGCGGGGGGCAGCTCATTCGATTCCTCAGCAACCGTTGTGCACCTTACAAGCCGTCCCGCCTTCTTTTGAGGTTCCGCCTATTTTCGGTCCAGTGCATGTTTCAGTACCTGAGCATGCAGCAGGCACGCATGTGCCCGCCGTGGCTGTCGAGCCTGCACTGGTTCCGCAGGCCGGGCTAGCCGCTGAGGCTTCGCAGGAGGATGATAATGCATTCTCGACCGAGCATGCATTGGTGTCTTCAGACTCGGAATCAGAAGCAGAATCTTTGGGCGCTCCCGAGGAGTTTGGTTACTTGGTAAGCGGATCAGGCGTCATGCATGTGGCCATGCCTTCATCGCATGGCACTCCTTGCAAGGCAGGTCTCGTGCGTCCGGCATGTGGCACGTTGTGCAAGAATCTTAAGCTGTCCATGTCTTTCGCACCCGGGTCCAGGCTCTGCCGTCATCCAGCTTGCCATAAAATTTTTGCATCGGCCGGCTAACAAGCTGCTTCAGTTGTGCACACAGCGTTGCCCTGGGGTTTTTGGCTTTTTTCAGCTGGCTATGAGATAAGTGGGCTGCCAGAATCGGCACGGTATCAGTGGTGGGGGCTCGGGCCCTGGACACCTTCGGGGCGGTATGCCCGTCTGCTAGCCTGTCTTGGGCTGTGGCATACAGCCGGTGGGGGCATTGCCCTGGACACCGCGCTGGGGTTTCGGGTGGCTTTTCTGGTGGGGACTGAAGTCCTGGACACCAGTGGTGGGGACTGTAGTCCTGGACACCAGCCTCATTTCAAAGATCATGTGTGCCGAATCGGAGTAACTCCTTGGTTGCGTGCTCATAAGGCGTTGCAACGCTTGTAGATGGTAGTTTTGTCGAAGCATTGATCAATGGGCTATCGGACATGCCAAAAGAATGCGGTATGCATGGTGGTCGTTCAAGGCAGTCGATGTGTGTAGCTGCCATTTCTCATGCGGTAGGTGTCTCAGGTCAGTTGCATGTGCTGCGAGTGAATGTTGTTCAATGGACACCAACAGGAAGGTTGTCGGCTCAGCTGGTCGTGGTAGGACATGTCGTTTTTCTTTCAAGTCATGTCACGAATTTTCTTGTATAACTCGTGTGAGCGTGCCGAGTTTATTGCGTTCTATTGCGATTATATGTACCGGTAGAGACACTCTCTAGGAAGGGTCATGGCGCTGTCAGAACCACACAGTCTCGCCCCGAGATAGTGGGTTCTCTTGAGCCTGAGCGAAGGCCCTCGCGTGGGCCGCCTTGGACAAACCTAAGAAAAACTTTCATGAGTCAGCTTGATTTTCTTGTTGCACTTCGCTTGTTTTTCTTGTGGCTTTTTGCAAACTGCCTTACGGTGCTGTTCCAGTGAGTGCGATGCCATCCCGCATGCAGTGGTGAGTGCTCAAGCCGAGCAAAAGTTTTTGTCTTAGCCTCGCTAAAGGCCTTTACTTGCTTCCTAGCAGGCTCCGGGCGCTAAATCCAAGGCTTTAGTTTTCTCGACTCCCCGCAACAGTCGGGGAAGTCTATGGAGAGGCGCCTTAGGCATCCGCCTCCGCCTCTTCGACGGCTGCTTCTGTTGTGGCTGTCGGGGCAGTTGCCCGTGCGAGGTTGGCAGTCTGTCATTTTGCGACCTGAGCCTCCACTTCAGGTCGGCCTGCCTCAGCTACTTGGGGCCGCATCTGCTGGTGCTCACGTATTGCTTGCTCTGGGTCTGAATCCGCTACGGGCTCTGTCAAGTGTGTCTCGCGAAGTGGCGCGCATTTTCTCAGAAATCAGGCTCGCTGTGCTTCGTGCTGCGCCCTCTCTTGCGAGGGCTTATCACCGTCCTTGAGTTATGTCCACAGCATCCAGCTCGGCTGAACAGCCCGCTGCTGCCGCTGCTCTAGTGCAAGGACCCTCTGTAGTGCCTGACCCTGCCTCCCCGCCTGGGGCCCTACCTCCCGCCCTTCCGGATGGTCCTTTAAAGGTTCAAGTTGGGGGTTGTATGGATGCTTTTGATAATCTGCTTCAAGAGCTCTCTGAGGAGGTCCAGTACCAGTTCCCTCCACAGCCTCCCGAGCATTTCTGCGATTTCCCTGAGGATTGGTGCGAGTCGGAACCGCAGTTCTCAAGTGATGTCTTCTCTAAACAGGGAGCCTCCTTGTTGTCAGACACAGGCGAAGTTTTCTTTGAAGAGAGTGCATCCATGTTGTCGTATTCGCCGTCACCAGGGCAGCGCGACGGAGTTGCTTCGCAAGCAGTGAGTGCTGCACCAAACACTTCAGCTGGCAGGCTAAGTAGCTCGTGCAGCAAAGAGGTTGAACGCCCCGCCTTCGTGCAGGACGATGCCCTGGGATCCTTTGTTGGAGGATTGGTGAAGTCTGATGTTGCTAGGTTTGGTAATTGTGACTTGAGCCTTCAGCTGCCGTGGGAGACCGATTTTGCAAAGAGCCTGCTTGACCCGGATTGTGTTTGGGACCCTCTGAATGGCTTCAAGCAGGATTCGCAGATTCCCCCTTTGTCGATGCTAACTCTTGCAAATCCATCCTCCAAGCAGCCTGCCAAGGAGTGTCATACTGGAGCCATCTTTGCTTGGGCTGTGTCACTTGGCGCGGCGGCTAGGGATCCTGCAGCTGAGAGAGAGCGAAAGTTCGACCAAGGGGTGTGCATGTGGAGCCGATTGGTCTTGAGATATTCAGCATGCTGCACGCTTTACGACTGTGTCTTAGACGGTCAAGGCGCAGGTGAGAACACTTATGCTTTGATCGAGGCTGCAGTCTCAGCGGCCGTGGGAGTAAAGTCGCCACACACCATCCACAAGAGAGCGTCCTCATTTTGGGCGTTCGTTCGGTGGGTGGATGTCCATGATCCTCAGTCTGCCGAGAAGCTGCATGAGGTACAGGTGTGGAACTTTGTGCAGTTCCTTAAAGCTTCTGAGGCACCCGCTTCAAAAGCCTCCTCTGTGATCAGCTCCTTCAGGTTTGCGCATTTTGTGCTGGGGTTCAAAGTCACGAGCATCATCGAGTCAAAGCGAATTTGCGGTGCCGCGGAGCAGCAACTTGTGAAGGTCAGGAAATTGAGGCAAGCCCTGGATCTTAGGGTCTCGCAGATCCTTGAGCTTCATGCGCGGCTGGAGTCCGGAGCTCTGCATTGCTTCGACCGGGCTCTCCTTGCGTCCATTTTGATCAGGCTGTATGCCAGGGCACGTCCCAGCGACTTCTTGTTCATTGAGACCGTTGAGGTTGACTGCCCGGCCGATTCAGACTACCCTTTGCTAGTCTTTGAAGTCTCTGAGCACAAGGGGGCAAGGAAAGTCCAGCTTAAGAATAAGCTTCTCCCTATCTTGGTGCCCATGATTGGGGTACATGGAAAGTGCTGGATAAACGAGGCGTTGAGCGCCTTCAAGGACGCTGGCAGAGCATTGCCGGCTGTGCGAGGTCCATTGACTCTTGCCCCTAGGGATGCCTCTGGGACAGCCCCCTCTGCTCGGTCTGTCACTTCTGCTGAGGTGGGCCGTGCTTTGCGTGCATTCTTGGGCGAGCCTGAGGAAATCATTGACTCTTCCGTGCCGAGAGTTACCGCATACTCTCTTCGAGGCACTTGCTTAGGTTGGGGAAGTAAGTTCGGTTTTGACGAGGACCTCAAAAGTATACTCGGCAGGCATGCTTCATCGGTCAAGACTACTCAGGCCATCTACAGCAGAGAGCTTGCAGCCGCCCCAGTGCGGAAATTGCAGGACTTAATCAGAGAAATCGTGGCCGGCCGGTTCATGCCCGACAGCAGTAGGTCGAGTTACTTCCCAAAGATGCCTAGCGCAAAGGAAGCTGGAAAAGCCATCGCATGCTCGGACAGTTCGGCCCCTGGAACAGGTGCGGTCAAGATCGAAGTGCTTAGCAGCGACGAATCTGGTTCGGAGCCGGGAGATTCGCCTGATAGCGAGTCCTCGGGTTCGACTTCGAGTTCCTCGAGCTCTTCTGTAGAAGCTACTGCTCAGCCCATTGTGCGACGGTGGAAGAGAGCCAAAGTGGAGTCTACCGACCAGGTGTGGTACGTTCACACCGGTAGTGGAGTTTTGCATCTGCTTGCGAGTCCTGAGGAGGCTCCGATGTTGCTCGCATGTGGGCGACCGGTGAACAAGAATTACCGGGAGGCTACGAGAGAGGAAGTATCTCGTGGGACGGAGTGCCGGACATGCAGGCGAAATGTTTGACGTGGACCAAGGCTGAAGTCGGCCCCAAAGAAACAAAAAGGATGCGAAAGGAGCGAAGGTGCTCCGAGCGTATGTGCTCCGAAAGTCGATGCGACTTCATGGGGGTGTGCATGCTGTCACCTTGTGATGTCCCGCTCGAGCCTTGCGTGAGTCAGTCAGTGTGTGCAGGTTTGGCTAGCCTCTTGAGTTGAGGTGTGAGCGAATGTGCTCGGAGCGCATGTGCTCCGAAAGTCGATACGACTTCTTGGGGGTGTGCATGTTTTCACCTTGCTGCTGATGATACTTGAGCTTTGATTGAGTCAGTGTGTGCAGACTTGGCTACTCTGTTGAGCTGAGGTGGATCGATTTCCGCTAAAGCTTTTGGGCTCAGTATGACCTCTTTGGTAGAGAGCACCCATCACTTCACCTCGAGATGCACCGAGGTCGGTCTTAGCCGGGACACGCTCCGTGCTTTTGCAGCTCATGGAATCGACACTTTGAGTAAGTTGGCTTACTCGTGCGGTCAACCGGGGGCGCCGTTGCCTCAATCGGACTTTGATGACTTCATTGCTACCGTGATACCTGCAGCTCTCTTGGGCGAGAAAGGAAGTGTGAAGAGGCTCATCTTTGAGAGTCAGGCATTACTGCTCACTGATCTGCGTGAACAAGTTACGCAGCCCGACAAGTGGGCTACCAAAAATGTGCCGACCGTTGAACGGCAGAAGAGAATGGAGGCTGTGAAAGCCAGCATCCCAGGAGTGTTGGTTGAAGGGTCCTTGGAGCCATCGCACGGGCTCCTCAATGCTGCTTGCCGCATGGAACGTGAAGGCCAGCTGCGCTACATTGCACCTGAGCAGTGTGGCACAAGAATGTATGAAATCCAGAACGTCAAGGCGCAGAGCAAGGTTCTCTCTTTGGAAGAGGGCAAGCTTGCGATTTCAGAAGAAAAGGATTTGCCTGAGGTCACTTGTGGGTCCGCCTTGTTGCTACAAGAGGCTTTGAAAAGGCGGGGGATCGCCCTTCAGTTTGCGGGTGTGGCTTCGTTCCTCGCTCACGAGAAGTATGTATTGAAGCTCTTCGGCCACATGGGTCGAGAGCCCCCTCCGGGGCATGCGAGAACCAGTGTGCACCAGCTCCTCACTGCTGACCGCCAGGTTTGGACAAAGTTGATCGAGGACGAGGTTAGCCCAAGGCGCAGCCCCGCTGGCACCTACCCCGTGGACGATGCACTGTTACCTGCGTTGCAATCGTATGATGTCACTGTTGCGCTGCTCCCCAGGGAATCCTCTAAGGATAGCAAGAAGCGTTTTGCTCCGACCAAGAAGCATCAGAATGAGCGCGAACAGAAGGTTGGCAAAGGTGACGGAGGCAAGGGTTCTGGCAAAGGCAAGGGCAAGCGTCCAACATGGCAGCCAAGTGTGCCGGAGGCTATACGCAAACTCGGCGGGAGTGCCCAAACTCCGGACAAGAAGCGCATTTGTTTCTCCAGGAATCTGCCTTGTGGTTGCACCCTTGACCCGTGCCCGAAAGGTCTTCATCCCCAGATCATGGCATCCAGGAGTGTCCACAGCGCAAAAAGTGACATCCGAGCCGCACTGCGGATGTGCATATGGTGACCGATGACGGAGAGGGCATCGCAGCAACAATTGCCGCAACCTCGACTGGAGGTCAAGACTACCCATTGCATGATTGCAGCTTGGTTGCACCGACCGGGTCAAAACTCGTTGTGTCAGAGCATCCGGCTGAAAAATTTTCTGCAAAATGTGAGCCTCCTGTGCTGGCTGACATCTTGAAATTAATTACACTTTTGGAGTCTGAGAAACCTTCACGAGGTCAATCCTCTGAGAACACCTTTTCTTGGACCTCAGGCGCATACGCTAAAGGTCCTTTGCGAGGGCTTCGGAAACATGCTTCTATTTTCCCCGCTTGTACGCGCATGCTTTGCAGGCTTGTGCTCCAAGCTTTTCCGGAGGCCGATTTTGGCGCGGTTGCAGTTTTTAAGAATTTGCGAACACCTCTACATGTCGACATTAACAACTCTCCGGGATCTGTAAATTACTTGATTCCTGTGTCCTCTTTCACAGGTGGCGAGGTGTGGCAAGAAGGACAGGGATCAGTTGTTGTGCACGATGAGTTGGGCCATCCACTCATGGGCTCGCTCCTCCCGGTTGCAGATGGGCCCTGTGTAGTAGATCCGCGGCGCACCCATTGTACCATGCCGTGGGTTGGTGAGCGAGTGCTTCTCGTTGCATTTAAGCCTGCGCATACTCGTGAGTTGTCCATAGCCTTCAAACAGCAGCTCCAGAGCTTAGGTTTTCCGAGCCGGGCATTAGGTTTGTGTGCGTCGGAGGCAAATTTGTTGCCTCCATCACCGCCTCTGCCAGAGGCTAGCTTGCTGCCGATGAGACCGGTTCTTCCGAACTCCGAGGTCGTTTGGAATGACCCCCTTGTTATCGAGCTTTTTGCGGGCAACGGCCGTGTCACTGCTTGCCTTAAGCAGTTGGGACTTTCGGCTGCTGGGGTTGACCGTAATCCTAGTAAGTCCGTGTCCTTCTGTCTACCGGCGGACCTCACCTCGGCTCGAGGCCAAAAGCTGTGCAAGGAGTGGCTCGCCTCTCCTAGATTGGCCGGCATTTTTGCTACGCCCCCAGCTTTCACCGCTGCCAGTGCTGATGCAATCACATTCTTGTTGCATGTGCTGTCCACAGCCTTGACCAATGGAGTCCTTTGTGCCATCGCGAACCCTCGACAAAGTCGCTTCTGGCAAAATCCTCAGTGGAGGACTGTTGCCTCCTCTTTTCGTTTTGTTGCCTGCCAGGAGTGTACCTTCGGTGGCAGACATGACGATCACACCGTTTTCGCTGTGTCGGATAGTGGCTTCGACAAGTTGGCTCGTTCCTGCCCCGGCCCTCCGTGCAAAGCCTTGAATCGCTGCCCCGATCCTGGCACCGGTTATCCTGCTCACCTTGCAATGCAAGTAGCATGCTGCTTCGCCGAAGTTTTCGTCAAGAAAGGTTGGCAACCGCCTAGCCAGTGTTTCGATGCATTCGACCCTCGACTTCAAGTGCCGATGTCACGCGCTCTAGCAGGTGCTCAGCCTCCGGCTACCAAGATTCCTCCGCTCGTCCCGGAACATAAGCGTGTGGTCGTGCTTCGCCACCCGCCTGGCCTCCAACTACCGTGCCAGCCCATGCAGCGTCTTACTACAGATTGGCTCGTGCCTCAGGGGTGCCATGCTCCCTGCGCCTGCATTCCTGCGAAATCCCAGCTTCTCAGGCACGTGCCGATAGGTCAAAGTGGGGGCGACGAGACTGTGAAAGTAGGTTTGTGGGAAATGGCTTGGGGAATTCCTTGGGACCCAGAAGAGTTTATGAAGACGGCCAATGAGTCCAGCCATCCTCGGACCATTGGATCTGTGCTCCCTCAGCCACTTAAGGATTCTCTTGATGCATTGGACGAGAAGAATGACGCCGAGGTAACCGAGCTTAGAGCTAGGGTTATTAAGGAGTGGGTTCACCTTTCGGTTTCCCTTGCTCAGGATGAAGCAAAGTTGAAAGCAAGCATGCACCCTGACGTCCGTGCCATCACCGAACCGAAACGCATTTTGCTGTGGGAGTCTCTGATGGCGAAGTACGCTTATCCTGACCCTGGAGTGTCCAGTCTCCTCAAGGAAGGGATTCCCTTAGTGGGTCACGCGCCCATCTCGGGCGTCTTTAAGCCGAAGTTCAAACCTATGCAAGCCACGCCGGAGCAAGTGCGCGAGGATTTTCTTGATTTTCGGAAAAAGGTCCATAAGTCCCTTAAGCCCCAGGAGCACTCCCTAATGTCCGAAGTTTTTGAAAAGACTAAGAAGGAGCTAGAGGCGGGCTGGATCATTGGCCCTCTTTGCGAATCCAACTTGTGCTCAGGAACTTTGGTGAGCAGGCGGTTCGGATTGCGGCAAGGCCCGAAGGTTAGGTGCATTGACAACTTGACTTCGTCTGGGGTAAACTTAGCAGTGCAGGCTTATGAAGCTCCCCAACCGCAGTCCACTGATGTGGTGGCTTCCACGTGCCAGCGTCTTCTTAGGTACATCAAAAGGAAAGTAGGCAAGGCCGTCTTCAACCTCTTGGGAAAGGCTTTTGATCTTACCGCTGCCTATAGGCAGCTACCGGTGCACCCGGGCAGCGAGTGGGCTTCATACATTTGCTTGATCCATCCGGAGACTCATGAGAGAGTGTACTTCCGCATGAGGGCGATGCCGTTCGGCTCTTCCATGGCGGTGTATAGTTTCTTGAGAATCAGCCACTCGCTCTGGTTCTTGGGAACCAAAGCCCTGCTTCTGCCCTGGTCGTCGTTTTTCGATGACTATATAACATTTGCCACTTCCGGCCAAGCTCTGTCGGCGGAATCGTCTGTCACTGCAATGTTCAAGTTACTTGGATGGGCCTTCGCTGAGTCCGGTGACAAATCGCATGACTTTGCAAAATGCTTCACTGCATTGGGAATAGTTGCTGACCTGAGTCAGGTTTGCGACGGAGTGATTTACTTTAAGAATACGGAAAAGCGTATTGAGGAAATCAAATCCTTTGTGCAAAAAGTGTTGGAGGACGGCCGTCTTCCACATCATGAAGCGCTTCGCCTCAGAGGGAGGTGTCAGTTTGCAGATTCGCAAATCTTCGGCCGCACTGGGAAGAAGTGTCTAGGTTTGGTCACTGCACACGCCTATGGTCTCGAGGAGGCTATCAGTCACGAGCTTCGCGTGTCGCTTGAAAGGTTTCTGCAAAGGCTTGAGTGCGATGCACCGCGACTTATCAAGATCCTTGAAGGCGGGTTCTGGAAGGTGTACACGGATGCATCCTACGAGCCGGGTGCAACCACGAGTTACTGTGGAATAGGCGGTGTGTTGGTTGATCCTAGTGGTGTGCCTAGAAAGTTCTTTTCAGCTGTTTTGGACGATTCCCAAAAGATTTTCTTAGGCGAATCCAAGTCAGCCCAGATCATTTTTCAAGCAGAATTGCTGGCGCTCACAATCGCTATGGATGCTTGGTCACACGACTTTAAAGGCTGCCCTGTAATTTTCTTCGTGGACAATAACGGGGTTCGTGACATCACCATTTCGGGGCTTGCGAAGGCGTCGATAGCCAGGCGACTATTGGAGATTTTCTTGCAATTGGAGCATGATGCTTCAGTCGTGCCTTGGTACGCGAGGGTACCATCACCATCAAACCCCGCAGATGAACCTTCGCGGATCGAATGCAAAAGCCTGTGCCTCTTGGGCGTTCATCTTGATAGATCTCTTGTGGGCGGCCTCATCACAGCTTGCTTGAAGAAGGTGCAGGGACTCCGGTGAGTCTGCAATCACCGGACAAAGTGCAAGGATTTCCTGAATGGGTTAAGTTGGGGTGTAAGCCTGCAGGGCCCCTCCTAGAGGGCTGCAACTCCCTGCGTGTAGTTTGTCCAGACGAATGCCAGCCTGGCATGTAGTTAGCGAACTTAGTGCCGACACGGCACATGCAGAATCAGACTTCCCAGAGTCACCGAAGGAAAAGTCGTCAGCAGTGCGATCCACAGTGTGAGTGATTCAGTACATGCAGTCATGTCATTCTTGATGCACAAGTTCTTTCAAGAGTTTTTACTGCTTGAGTAAGTTTGCGCTTTAAGTTTTACTGCTACTGTTTGGTCCAAGTCGTTCGGCTCGAGAGAACCACACAGTCTCGCCCCGAGATAGTGGGTTCTCTTGAGCCTGAGCGAAGGCCCTCGCGTGGGCCGCCTTGGACAAACCTAAGAAAAACTTTCATGAGTCAGCTTGATTTTCTTGTTGCACTTCGCTTGTTTTTCTTGTGGCTTTTTGCAAACTGCCTTACGGTGCTGTTCCAGTGAGTGCGATGCCATCCCGCATGCAGTGGTGAGTGCTCAAGCCGAGCAAAAGTTTTTGTCCCACCCGCCCACCCTGACACTGGCGTGGTGCTTCTTGAGGGGTGTAAGCCTGCAGGGCCCCTCCTAGAGGGCTGCAACTCCCTGCGTGTAGTTTGTCCAGACGAATGCCAGCCTGGCATGTAGTTAGCGAACTTAGTGCCGACACGGCACATGCAGAATCAGACTTCCCAGAGTCACCGAAGGAAAAGTCGTCAGCAGTGCGATCCACAGTGTGAGTGATTCAGTACATGCAGTCATGTCATTCTTGATGCACAAGTTCTTTCAAGAGTTTTTACTGCTTGAGTAAGTTTGCGCTTTAAGTTTTACTGCTACTGTTTGGTCCAAGTCGTTCGGCTCGAGAGAACCCAACCCCTTGTTGGCTCTCTCAGAGGAAGCCACTGAACAGGCGAGGCCGATGCGGGCCTTATTGGAAGGCTCGGGCATCCCGGAGTCTCTTTGGAAGGATGTGGCCATGTTTGCCCCAGATGAGTTCGGGTCTCTTTCTGATGCAGAAATTCAGGAATTCTTAGATGGCCTCACGTACCCAGCTGAGCCATCCGATCTGTTGGTGAAGGCCAGGATTCGCCTCTTGTGGCGGAAATGCCAAAAGTCGGGGGCACCCTTGCAACCCGATCCTCCCAAGCCCAATCCCGTGGGGAGCACAGGTGCGCTTGCCGATCATGCTTCATGGTCTGAGGCATTCCCAAAGCGTCTCAGTGGCGAGGCAGTCCGCCAAATGATTAAGGCTTTCAGTGAGAAGTATCCTTCTGAACCATTAAGCCCCGAGATAATGCCATCACCACGACTTTTGTCATTAGTTCATCAGCAATTGCAGGACAGGCGTTGGCGATGGATACCGTGGAAGTTGCGGTTGTCCGAAGAACAATATGACTCTAAGTCTCTTGAGCGCTCCCTTAAGGCACCACGGCTTGAAAATCTGTTATGGGAAGAGATACCCAGTAGAGAGTTGCCCACGCAGGGCATGGCCAAGAGTGTTATGGCAGAACTGCTTCATTTGCAGGCAGTGGCGATTGCGTTAGCAGACGGCGCCCACCTCTACACCCTGCGGGAGATGAACCGAAAATTTCTTGTCAAGTGTTTCGATCACTTACCTCGGGATGGGGGGTTGAGAGTGCCGAACAGATTGGAGGCCGAGAATGCAGAGAAACAGCTTTGGCAACAGATCGCGGTATTGTTCAATGAAGAGAATTGGACAATGGATCAGGCGATACGCGAGGTTGTCGTGGCTCGCAACGAGCTTCACGTTTTGCTCATGCCGAGGGCCGTCGCACCTAAAATTCCGTGGCAACCGTGGACACCGCATCGCATCAAAGGCGATGGCAAGCAGGGGACCCACGGCAAGGGCGGCAAAGGGGATAAGGGCACTAAGGGCGGTTCTAAGGATGGTAAAGGTTCCCAGCGTCATACCTTGATGATCAATGGCCTGCGAGTGGGTACCTCGTGGATGCAAGGCAAGAACAAACGCCTTCTGTGTTCCGGGTTTCAGCAGGGCAAGTGTACTCGCGATCAGTGCAAGTTCGAACATGTGTGTGGTGTGATTTTGCCAAACAATCGCATGTGTCTCGGGGATCACAGTCCGGCAGAGCACAAGCAAACGCCCCACTGACAGGCGGGGTGCATGTCTCAGCCCCTGGTGTCGCCCCAATCGGGCGTTGTTCTTGCGGACGCAGACATGTCGGTCTTACATGCGGCTGAGGCATGTGAACCCATGCACACTGGCCATACTGTTTGCTTTGAGCCACAATCTGATGCTGAGGAGTCCAATCTTGATTTCTCGGATTTTCCACAATGTGATTCGTCAGGTAGCGCCCTGGCCACGTTTTCTGAAGTCCCACCGGTGCCCGCAGCAGTGGATGCTCCGAGCTCTGTGTCGAATGCCGCATGCGCCGCAGTGGCAGACCCGTCGTCTGCCGTTTCAGCTGCATGTGACACAATCTTGAACATTTTGCAATCCGTGGAGTGGCCGCCGTGCCATACAGCAAGGGCTGTGTTGCAACCGCGTGACAACGCTGGAACCGGTTACTGGAATTTTGGGGTTAGGCCCTCAGAACCCGCAGTTCTTACTTCTATCACCCAAGATAAACCCGACATAGTTCGCCGTTTGAATGCCTTGTTTAAGGTTCTTTGGCCGGATCAATTTTGGAATGCGATTTGTATAAATCTCAACCGCGTAGCTAGCCTTCACCAGGACTTAGCAAACAGTGAGGGCTCCATGAATTTGAATGTCTCCGTTGGGGACTTTCAGGGGGGTGCATTGTGGCTGGAGTCAGCAACAGGCACTTTGTGGCGCCAGCCACCAGGCAGCCAGCACTGGGTCAAGGGCGAAGAAGTTCAGACTTTTCGGAATCCCGTTACTTTTCCAGCTTGTGCCTGGCATGAAACGATGCCATTTGTGGGTAATAGATGGTCCATCACTTGTTACACGTTGCCCCATGTGCCGGCGGGTACGTTAGCCAAACTTGGTTTTCCGGAGGTATCTCCGGCGCAACTTCCTCGTGTATCGCAGACACAGGAGTCAGTTGCCACATCCGCGGTTAATTCCACCGCGCCAATCTCAGCCTTGCCACCGGTGGTGGCCACACAGCAGCGCCCTCTTTTCTTTTTGGATCTTTTCGCTGGTGCAGGTGCACCACTTTGTCAGGAGGCCGCACGTCGGGGTTGGGCGTGTATTCCCATAGATATTCTACATAACAAGGCATCAGACTTACGCGATGATCGCATCTTCGATGGTCTCTTGAAGCCTTCCCACTCAGGTGCAGTAGCGTTTGCAAATGCATTCCCTCCTTGCTGCGAATACAGCATTGTGAAGCAGTTTGATGGCGGACTGCCACCCTGCCGATCATGGGAATGCTTGGCAGGCTTTCCCTCCAACAATGCCGAAGCCCAGGAGCGTGTTCAGTCCAGCCACCTTCTGTTGTCTCGGGCAGTCATGCTCTTGCACGCTGTATTTCAGAGTGGCAATCACGTAAGCTTAGAACAACCTCGTAACTCTATGGCTTGGGCTGAGCCCGTGACTCAGGCTTTCCTGCTGGAAATTGCGGCGGATGTGATTCAGGTTGCAGCTTGCAGCTATGGTTCGAGCTATGCAAAGTACTGGGCCTTCGCCACAAGTTGGCGACCTTTACAGCAGTTGCAAAGTACTTGCCAGCACGCGGCGGGTCATCATGATGTGTTTCACGGCAAACGTGACGCCACAGGCCAGTTCGTGTCTCGGCATACAGCGGTGTTCCCTCCCATGCTGTGCAATGCGTTCATGGAGGCCATTAGCCCGTTGTTCCCAGAGAACACACATGCTACCGACTTCACGTCATTGAATCAGGCACTTTCTGCATTGCCGGTTCGCCCCTTGAACGATTTCCCGACTGGCCAACAGGATGGCGGCGGCATTTACAGCCAGCCCGACTGGACTTCTCCTCCGGCGGGAACAAAGGATACCTTCCGCCAGTTGCGTCAAGATATGTGGGGTTTTTTCAAAGAGCATAAACTTTTTGATCGCCTTCGCAAACATGTCAGCGAGTCATCGCAAGAGCCTCTCATTCAGCAGCATGAGCTCCCAGCATTGCGAGCAATTTGGGAAGATTGGTTTAGAGCTCAGGGCTTCACGGATTCAGTTTCATGGGAGGTCGCGCCCGACCAGCCTTACTGTCTTCAGGCGCTTGAGCTTCTGAGCAAGGCTCTTGACGACCGTGATGTGGAGCTTTGGAAGGACTTGCAGGCTGGGGTGCCAACGGGTGTTGATGGTGACATTTCTATGAGCAATTGTTTCTTGCCTACCCCAGCGCATTTCGATCCAGAAGATTTTGATGTGCAAGTGTGTTCGGGCAACTGGCCCGGGGCCAATGAGGAGCCAGAATTGCTGGCGGAACTTGTGCAAAAAGAGGTGGACAAGGGCTACGTGCACGTCTTCGACTCTCTCGAAGAAGCCCAAGCCAAATGGTCCCGGGTCGCTGTAGGCAAAGTAAATGTAGTGAAAAGTGGTTCTAGAGATCCTCGCTTAATTGTCGACCCATCGGTTAGTGGGGTTAACCCTAGCTGCCACCTGCCTGAGCGCTTTCTTCTCCCCGGTCTCGGGGACATCCGGGCAGTGTATCCCCTGAGGGGTGTGTCGGGCTGTATAGCCGCATGCACATTAGACATACAGGCCGCCCACAAAACCGTTCGGATTCGGGCGAGTGAACAAGGATTAGTTGGATTTTGCGTGAACGGCAAATACTATTTTTATAAAGTGGCACCATTTGGAGGTTCTTTTTCAGCGTTGTGGTGGCAACGCGTCGCGGGCTTTTATGTTCGCACCGGCCATCGCCTGATCTTCATCAGCCACGTCCTACTTATGTACGTGGACGACGCGTTACTCCTTCAGCACAGTTCAGCCATCGAATTTTCCGCGCTCCTGATGGTGGCATTTTCACAATCATTTGGATACCCGATCAGTTGGCGTAAGCTCCAGCTGGGGCCCAAGCTGGAATACATTGGGTGGCAGCTTAATTTCCGTGCAGGAACGTTTTGTCTGCCTGATCCTAAGGTGGCCAAACTTTTGCAAAGCCTGATGCAAGTGCTCCGGTCCGATCCTTGCACCAAGCGGGATTTGCAGGCTCTCATCGGTCTCCTTCACTGGGTATTACAGATGTCGCCCGAGTTGCTACCGTGGCTGTGCTGCTTGTATCACGACATGTCTCGTCCCTTGGGCACAAATTTTTCCTTGCATGCAGGTGCCTGGCAACAGTTAGCAGATACCTTGACTGATGATTTGCATTTCCGCAAATCGCCACCAGGGTCGACCATCCCCCCGGAAAGCAAGTTGTTGAGTGCTCGACATGTGGAGATCAAGTGCAAAGCGGACTTGCGCTTGGTGAGGGCCACAGGCAAGCGGGTCTGGATTCGTGTGGCGGATGCGTCATCTAGCAAGCGTCGAATCAGCACGGTGAGCAGACAGTTTATCATGTTCTGGGTGCACTTTTGCATGCGGCCTCAGATGCCCCGCTGTTTGTCTTTGCCGCCTTTGGACTTTCAGTATTCATTAGCTGCTGACGCTTGTGCTAAGGGCAACGACATTGGGATTGGCGGATGGGTTGAATTGCCGAATCAGCCCATTGTTTGGTTTTCCGAATGGTTTACGGTCCAAGATTTCCGTTCGCTGGGGTTGCCCATGAAAGATGATGCTAATTTGGACATTACGGCGTATGAGACGCTGGCACAACTGGCTCTCTTGATCGCTTTCATTTCCATCACTCCTACTGGGCGACTTCGGGTGTGCATCCCATCTTGGTCGGATAACTCGGGGACCGAGTCCTTGACGAACAAGCTTTTCACAGTACATACACCGCTGTGTTTCTTTGCTCAGAAACTGGCCACGCGGAGTTGGCAGTCTGGAATCTCTCTCGATTGTACACACATCGCGGGATGTCACAATGATAGAGCTGATTTCTTGAGCAGATGGAAAGGCGACTTGCAGGAACTTCCTTCCCGGTTCAACTTGGATCATCGGGTTCGATGCCCACTCACAGTCTTGTGGGAGGGCGAGCGAGATGTTCGAGTTTTCCCGCCACATGCTAACTTGCTTTGGCAGCCGCCTGTATCTTCCTTCAATGAACACAACGTGTAAGCACTCGGCATCGGGCAGGTTCAACATCTCACGGTGCGCGGTCGGCCTGGCCTTCCCCCGTGGGCTCTTGGGGTTCCTGCAACACCGGTGTTGATGTGCATCATCGTCGGGGTTCGACACTCACGGCGCGCGGTCGGCTTGCCTTCCCCCGTGAGCACATGCGTTCCCCTGAGGGCGGTGTTGCGAGATGCAGAGCATGCATCAGTGAATGCGACAGGCATGAGTTGCAGGCAACTAGGTGCACTGATTGCATACGCAGGGCGTCATTGCTCGTTGAGTACTTTATGCTACTTATGTACCTTGTGTTATCTTCAACCGTATGCGGTGACGCTTCTTTGGGCGGAACGCCCACTCAGGTTCAGTCGGCCTCACGTTTCGGTAGTGGGAGTGCAGTGCTTGCGAGTCCGACCTCTCCTTTGTGGCAGTTTACGGTTCTGGTGTTCGTACACATTCTTGCATCTGCATTTGACATTATGCTGCTGCACGAAGTGTCTTACCGCCAAAAAGGAGAGGATCGAGCTGCAGTGGGATACACGTGATGTGAATATGTTTCTGTGAATCATAGAAATTTGTGAGAGTATTCTTTGCGGCTAGATGGAAATGTAGAACGCTTTTTGTGCTTGCTCAAAACTGTTTTACATTTCTGTTCTAACGCATGATGGTTCATCCTTGTTGCTCATCTAGCCGCAAAGCTGCTCGAGCAGAGAAAGGTCAAGAAAGGCCCCGCCCGCCCGCCCTGTGTGGTGTGGCATTTAGCTTTGTGCATGCCTCACGGTGCATAGTCAAGACATCGGTGCACTGTACATTCTCTGTACATTGAAGTGCGGACATTGAATGCATACGACTTCCGGCGTACATCCTGTGGTATCTTTGGCTTTCTCAATACTTGTTTTATGGTCTTTGCATTTGGTACTCTTACACTTCTGCAGCCGGTGTTCGTACACATTCTTGCATCTGCATTTGACATTATGCTGCTGCACGAAGTGTCTTACCGCCAAAAAGGAGAGGATCGAACTGCAGTGGGATACACGTGATGTGAATATGTTTATATATGAATCATAGAAATTTGTGAGAGTATTCTTTGCGGCTAGATGGAAATGTAGAACCACAGAAGGCAGCGTTGAGGCTGTCAAGGACAGACTGCTTGAGTTCTACGTAGAGCAGCTTGTGCAGAGGGAGCGGCCGACCAATCTCACTGCAGAAGGTTGGAACCGCATTGTTGCTACGCAGAGAGAAGGGTTGGAGGCCCATCTTGCTTCGCTGACAACCGTTCAGCAGGTCTTCCAGTTTGGTGAGAGGTGCCTGAAGGACCAAGATCTGAAAGAAGCTTTCCGTTACTTTGCAGCCGAAGACTCCTTTGAGGCAGCTGTTCCCTGCAAGTGGAAGCTTCAGTTGAGTAGCGTGCATCCAGAGCAGGAGTGTGAGCGCTCCCTCGCAGCAGCCGCAGACCTTGATCGTGTGTTGTTCAAACAGTATTTGAAGCGTTCAGCTGAGTGCCTAGACATTGATCCTGAGCCCAGTTGCAGTTCGTTTCCTGAGCTACGCCCTTCCGAAGGCGTGATCGAGCTTTGTGAGAGCGATGGCAAATGCCAATCCAGCACAAGTGCCGGCAGGTGATGATACCGATGATGAGCTGGGTGCCGATCCCGCTTCTGCTTCGCAGCATGGTGGTGATGCAGGCACTAATCCCTTTCCGTTTTCACCTACAGGTGCGGCGCAGGCTAGGGACATGACACCGGAGGTCATGATGCAAATGATGGCACAGATGACGCAGGCGGCCGCAGCCGCGAGCCAAGCAGCAGTCGCTGCTGTAAGCGCTCTGAGCAGCAAGGATGCTGCCCCCTCAGGAACTTCAACCACTTCAGGGTTTTCCGATGCCAATAGGATACTTAAGCGTCCTGACGAGTTTGGGAGCTCGAGCCACGACCACGATCTTGCGATCTGGCAGGAGTGGTCCCACGGGTTTAAGAGTTGGCTCATTTTCGCAGACGCTTCATTTGAATCAGAAATGCAGGAGATCGAGCAGAATTTGGATCGGTCCCTGGTGAGTGCTCACATGAGTGCTGCAGCGCAGGCGCGAAGCCAACGACTATACACCATTTTGGCGTCGCTTTTGAAGGCTAAGCCGTGCACCCTGCTTCGGGAGGTGGAGAATCGAAATGGATACGAAGTGTACCGACAGTTGATGGGCGTGTATGCGCCCAAGTCGAAGGCCCGTTCATTAGCCTTGATGAACGCAGTGGTTTCCATGCCAGCGAAGGACAAAACTTTGAGAGAGCAGTTGGCTGCCCTGGAACGCTTGGCAACTGAATATGAGCGAGTGGCCGGCAAGCCGGTCGGAGATGACGTCCTCTTAGGGACGGTGTTGAGATGCCTTCCACAGGCCATTCGGCAGCACATCCAATTGCAAATGACTGAGACGACTACTTACTCTGCTGTGCGAGACTATGTGGTCTCATACGAGACCACGACGACCCAGTGGTCAACCACGAAGGTGCATCAGTCCCTGGGCGTCGTTGCGCCGCCACCTGGAGATCAGGACCCTGTGCCCATGGATGTTAGCCGTGTGACGCAGCTGATTGCAGAGCTGAGTCGCATCAAAGGAGGCAAGAAAGGCCCAGGCAAGGGCGGAGGAAAGAAGGGCGATGGAAAAGGAAAGAAAGGCGATCCTAAAGGCAAGCCGTCAGGTGCATACGGTCATCAGGGTTATGGGTATAGTAATCAAGGTGGCAAAGGCGGAGGTAAGAAGGGTGAGCCCAAAGGCAAGAAAGGTCAAGGAAAAGGCGAAGGAAAGAAGGGCAATTCCAGAGGCAAGGCCAATCCCAACCTTGTGTGCTGGTACTGCGGTAAGACTGGCCATCCACAGCATTTGTGCTATCAGAACCCCTATCGCAAGCAGATCAATCAAGTTGAGCAGACAGGTGCAGGTGGAAGTGGAAGCCCAGCACCAAGCACAGTCGGCCCGAGCGCGAGCCAGCATCCGCAGCAGTCCGTGGCCGGCAGTGCTACGACAGTCAGGCGTGTTGATGCTTCAGAGCCTTTGATTTTCGATTTTAGCGATGTGCAGAGCCCAGCTTCCGTTGACATCAGGGCTATCGTTGCTGATTTGGAAGGGCCAAAATTTGGGCCCCATGCCGAGAATTTTCATTTTCATGCACCATGCCAGTTTTTCGACATGACGTACTCTGATGCCGATGCAGATTGGCTTGTGTTGCCGGGCGTGCCGAGCCCTGTGGAGCCCGAGCTCCTGCATGACAGTGTGGAGCCCATTTTGGGCGATGTGGCAGCTACTGTGCTTGAGACCAACCTGCGTGAGGTCGAGGCGTCTCCAGCCGTGTCAGTTTCTGTCAGAGCAGTGAATAGTGCAAGGCCTGAGGTTTATTTGGAAGTGATGTTGGATTCAGGGGCTGACTTGAGCTGTTTGCCAATCGCCTTGGGGTGCACAGGTGTTCGGGGGCCAAAGGCAGGCCGCCTCGCAGTGCGTGATGCCCAAGGTGGGCGCCTGCCAGTGAACAACACGAGGGATGTAGAATTTTCCTTGCAGGCCCATGATGGAAGAGAAGTGGTTTGGAAAGAGAGCTGCATTGTGACATCCGTCACTCAGCCACTGTTGGCTCTTGGCAAGCTCATGCGTGCAGGATGGATTCCGTCCAAAGACGATTTCGGAATGTTTTTGCAGCATCAGGAGAGCGGAGTTATGGTTCCAATTGATTTCCGGGGAAATAGTCTTATGGTTCATGCCACTTTGCGCAGAGTAGACGGTGAAGATGCTGAGTCAGTGACTGGCGAGGAGCCAGATGCGCGAGAGCCGGATGCCCGAGATCCGGATGCCGAGAGAGATCCAGATGCCGAGAGAGATCCACATGCCGAGAGGGATCCACATGTGCGTGCGACAAGCGCGCGTCCCAGCAATGAGTTGGTTGATGCTGCGTTCGGCTGGCAGACCTTAGAGAGCACAGGCCATTTTGTGTGGCGGGGAAGAACTGACAGGTACATTGATCCAGCCACACATGTGCCGATCACGTGGCCGCATCGCACCACTTTGGTGTATTCCGGTGCAGGCTGGCAAATGCTTGAGTGGTGTGTTGAGTGGCTAGAGCTCAAGGATCCCGTTGCTTTGTTTCCATGCGGTATGTGCGACTGCATCACTGTGCCCAGCATGAATAATAGTAAGAAGAGCCAGGTGACTTCGGTGTTGAGCTCGAGTCTGGACTGTCTGAGCATGTGAACGACAGCGGATTGCAGGCTGATTTAGAATTGCAAGATGCCGATGAACAGATGCCCGAAGTGCCAGGTCAGTCCGATCCGCCGGAACATGAAGCCGTGGCACCTGTGCCACTTCCAGACACGGTGGAGCCGGGTTCAGCAGTGCATGCAGAGCAAGATTCAGTGATCACAGTGAATGGAGTAGGACTGTCGATGGAGTCGACCCTGGGAGCTTTGCGTGCCGGTTGCAAATTTCTGAATTTGTCGCAGTCGGGATCCAAGCAAAGGTGTTTTCAGCGCTTGCAAGGATATGTGCAGAAAGAACGAATTTCTTCAGAAGTCGAGGTGGCCCGACAGGCCGAAGGTGATGATGCACGGGAGCCGCGCATGCAGTTCCTGCCTGAGCCTCCTAGTGAGGAGGCCCGCCTACTTCACGAAATCACGCATTTGCCTTATGCCAGCTGGTGCCCGCACTGCATCGCAATGAAGAGTGTCCCTGATCAACATCGCGCCGTGCCGGAAGGCAAGGCACGAGAGCGCCCCGCAGTTTCTTTTGATTTATTTTACACTGGGTATGATCTGACAGGCAAGCTGGAGAGTGGCCCCGATGACCGTGGGGCTGACAGAGACAAGCTTACGTGCCTCATAGTGCATTGCAATCACACAGATGCCATTGCTGCAATACCGTTGGCTGACAAGAGTGCTGCAAGCATGAAACATGCCGCGGTTGAACTAGTTCGGTTTTGCCAACTGTTAGGGCATTCTGAAGTTGAGCTTAGGTGCGATCAGGAACCGTGTATGTTCCAACTCCAAGGCCTAGCCATGAATGCTCGGAAAAGGCTTGGGTTTCGCACTAGGATTCGGAATGCTCCGATAGGAGCCCATCAGGCGAATGGACTTGCTGAGAAGGGCGTGGATGTCATCCGTTCATTGGCCAACGTTTTCCTTGATGCAGCGAGGCACCGCTATGGGATCACGATCCCGGTGTCCCATCCGCTTTTCGCCTGGAGCTTTGTGCACGCATCTTGGACATACACTAGGTTCAAAGTCAAAGGTGGCTTGACCTCGTACGAGCGGACAGGATGCCGCTATCGAGGGAAGTTGGTTCCCTATGCCGAACCGATTTTCGCCTACATCAGGACAGCAAATTCCCCCAAAGGAAACCCCAAGTGGGTGCAAGCAGTGTTTCTCACCAAGAGTGGTGTCAATGATATGTTTGTCGTTGGGACTCCACCAGGAATCATGCTATCCAAATCCGTGCGCCGCACGGGCCAGCCGTGGTCCACGCAGAAAGCATTGGCCGAGGCGATTGCAAGTGCCCCATGGAATTTCCAGTCAGGTTCACTTGGTTTGAAGACGATTCCGCAAGGGAGGATCCGAGCGCCAAATCCGGCCGAGCAGGCAGCTGTGGTCGATGTCTTGGCGCCTGAGTTGCCGTTGCCGCTACCAAGCGTCCCTCTGCATGCTGAGGCCGGTGGGATTGGTGATCTTGCAGGGCTGATGGCCCCTACTGCAGATGAGGCGCCAGGACCTGCGCCAGCTTCTAAGCGCTTTCACGTGGCGATCGAACGCCAGTGACACCGAGTGCTGCGACCCCGGGTGCCATGCCTTCGTCAGTGAGTGCTCAAGCACCGCATGAGTCGCCACTGCCCCGAGTGCCAGATGAAGCAATGCTTGAGGTATTCTTGCCTAAGCGGTCGGCGGGGACAGGTGGCGGCGGGGAGGAAAGTCCTTCGAAGACTGCTAGGCTACGCCGTGTTGCAAATGAGCACTTGGCTGTGAATGATGAAGAACTTGAGGTGCCTAGCGAGTGGGATGATTTGGGCTTTTCTTCCAAGGGTGATGATGTAGCAGCAGACGGTGGTCTCAGTGTAGGCCAGAAGGCAAACACAGTTGAACATGCGTGGGATGCAAGCCCATTGCCTCCTGAGACTGCCCAGCAAGCAGGCATTTTGTCTGATGGTGAACTGAAGGCTTTGGAGGCCCAACTGTGGTATCCTGAAGAGCCCACCTTGAGTCCTGACGAACAAGCCAAGGTTGATGCCATTGCAGATAGGTTTGAGGTGCAAAGGTTGATTCGCAAGCGAGTTCTCAAGTGTGCCGGGTTGCGAGGTGAAGTGTCAGAAGAAGGTTTCAAGCGCTTGTCAACGAAATTCGTGAGGACATGGCGCAAGAAGGTTAAAGGCGGTGTTGAAATGGTGTTGAGACGGTCAAGATTATGTGCACGGGAATACAAATGGCTAGAGGCCGACCGCCTTGACATTTTCAGTCCTGCCAGCAACACTGCCGTGTCGAAGCTGTTGCCGTGGCTGTTTGCTCGGATGAAGAATGAGCCTGGTGCTGGTGACGACAAACCATCGATGCTCACGCTTGATGTCAAGGATGCATACTTGACGGTGCCGCAGGCTGAGAAGGTCCGAGCATCCATGCCCCGTGATTACAGTGATAAATTTGAGTATGATTTTGAGATGTGCATCCCGGGACAGCGGGACGGGGCTTTGCGCTGGAGAGAGCGTCTGATCAACTACTTGCGTACCAAGTTTGAGGTGAAAGTGTGTGAAGCCTGCCCAGCATTGATTTCGATTGACGGGCAGAACTGCCTTCTTCATGTGGACGATTTGTTCATTGTAGGCAAGCGATCGTGGCTGCTCAAACACTTTGTGCCAGCACTTGAGAAGGAGTTTGAATGCTCATGGACAATCGCCTCTGAGGAAGGAGAGAGTGTCAGTTTCTTGAAGCGCGCACATCGCGTTACCGAGAGTGGCGTGATTGTTCAAGCACAGAGTGAGTTGATCCACAAGATGTGTGAGGTGCTTGGGTTGCATGAGCGCAAGACTTCAGCTGTTCCATGTTCGAAAGACATCCTCAAGGTGTCGGGGAGTAAGCTGCTTGATGCAGAGGGTGCAAGCACTTTCAGGACCGCCATAGGGATTGCAATGTACTTGTCCAATGATAGGGTAGACTGTGCATTCCCGATTCGCACCTTGGCGCAGCGGCTCACGGCATCGAGCGAGGACGACTTGAAAGCAGCACAGAAGTGAGCAGCGTATCTTCGCCGCACCGCAGGCTTTGGAATCCACATTGTGCCCCGCGAGAAAGGCTACAGCTTTCTTGATCAAGGACCGTCGAGGGACCATCATGAACATTTGCTGGAGGTGTGTTCGGACAGCGATTGGAGCGGCTCGCAAGTGAGCCGACGATCGATGTCATCGGCCGTCCACTTCCTAGACGGTGCTACCGTCTTCGGCTCGTGCCGGGGACAGAAAGTTGTGTCCCTTTCTTCGTGTGAGGCGGAACATTACGCCTCTGTGACGGCTGCTTGCGACGGCCTTTACCTGAGCCAATGCTTGACCTTCATTTTGGGTGAGAAACCGCGAATCACGATTAGATTGGATAACCAAGCCGCCCGCCAACTTGCACACAGGAGCGGCCCTAGTTACCTAGTTCAAAGACGCGTCACATTGACGCCAGACTTTTCTGGGTACAAGAAAAGGTTCAGAACAAGGTGTTGTCGTACATGCCCATTTCCGGCCATATCAATCCTTCTGATTTGGGAACAAAGTTGCTATCGGAGCGACGACTTCGAGCGATGCTTGGTGCTCAGAATTTCGTTGACTCTGCAAACTCCGACGTTGCAGTAGGCCTTGATGAGTGGGGTGAACTCTTGAGCGAGTCCGGGATTCATGTGCGACTTCGAAGGCTGCACGCGCAGCTTCGGTCAGTGCGGGGCTCGCGAACGATGCGAGCGCAGACGACGATGATTGGCTGTTTGTTGGCAGCCGCCCGTGGTGGCCTGGACGAGCTGCCATGGTGATCATGCGGGCCAGTAGTGGCCTGCTCATGCTTTTCATTTCTGCATTCTGCTTCTTGAGCCTTGGGTCGGAGCTATGGTTTGGAGATGAGCCCATTATTTCAGCGTTGAGTGTACATACAATGCCTGAGCAGAGCTGCGTGGAGTGTTATTGCACATGTGAAGGAAATGCTTTCTATTCTTGCGCCCTGGCGTGGCGCTACACGTGACACTACGATTATGCTGTATGGTTGCGCAACATGCTTCTTTCTTGCAGCGATGTTGCATTTTATTAAGTGGCTGCGCGGAAAACTTGACGAGCTCTCGAGGCTCGCTAAGCTTTGCGATGCGCTTTGGGCAGATGTGAAAGACGGCAAACGTGAGATCCGCAGTCTTCGTGATGAGAATGCGGCTATACAATTGTCGTTCTATGAGCGGCCAGCAGTGCCGCCAGTGCCCGAGGAGGTGTGTGTTTCGACCTATGGCAGGTGCTTTCATGCGAGGAGCTGTCATACAATCCGTGGTTCAGTGGAAAAGCTTACTACCGCTGCAGGGAGTGTCATCCGCCGACGCATGCATTTGATGGATAAGCTTGGAGCTTTCTGTCATATGTATACGAGCCTGGCGTGCTCAATGATGCGGCCTGGAGTGCCAATGGTTTTCATGCGGGCCTTTAGTGCCCTGCGGGCCTTTCGTGCCCATGTGTGTGAGTGAGGAGCCTTTCGTGCTCCCTGAGTGGCAAGCTTCAGCTTAGCTTAGCTTGTATATATGAGTTGCTACAGTGCGTGTGTGTGTGTGTGTGTGTGTGCCAAAGTTTGTCTTGCAAGCCGTTGCACAGTTAAAGTTGTGAAGTTGTGATGATCTGCGTAACCCAGGAGAGCTTCGCATATCAGGCGGGGTGAACAACTGTGTCACTCCGTAGTAGTATGTACGAGTATGTTTTGGTATCAGTATGCACACACGTGTACAGTAGTAGCTTTTGACTCTAGTTTTCACGTCGAAGACCTTTCGCTCCGCGGTGCTCGAACAGGCTCAGAGTGGAGTTGAAAAGTGTGGGAACCTGTTCAGAAAAAGAAGGATGCCAAGGAGGCAGAACCAGAGCCTGGTCCAGGACCAGACGAAGCAGGGAGTGACGAAAGGATGTCGGATTCCGAAGCCAGCGAGTCCAGCGAGAAGGAAGAAGATCCGGACTCTGAGGAAATCGATGCCAGAGAAGGAAATCCTGTTGGAGCCGGAGACCCAGCTGGAAATGCAGTCACGGAGATCGAGACGTAACGGCGCTTGGGCCGGCAGCAAAAGCTGTACTGGCAACTCTAAGTTGCGCATTTGTGTCACTAGTTCTTGAGCTCTTGTGTAGCTGCGTGTTCGGATCAACTCTTCTCGCAGGAAGAACGCAAAAAGAATTAACCTGCACTTGTATGCGAAGGAAAGCCAATCGGATGCACGTATTCGCTGGAGACGTAAAGTGAGTGGATGCAAGCGGAAGATTAGAGCATTGGTATTTGCACTCATGCTTGTCAGGACGGAAGCCATGCAAGGGGGAAGTCCACAAGCGCAGGCCTCAGCAGTACCGGTGCAAGATGGAGACGGAGACGGATTAGGTATGGTGCCTACTCAAGATATACTCGGACAACTAGTTCAGAACTCTAGAGTCACCACTGAAGCAATCAACCAGCTAGTTACCTACACTGGAACCCAAGGAAATGCTGGAGGAAACTCGTACGAAGGTATGCTGTCTAAAGCGTTGGAAGGTGCAGTAAAAATGTTGGGCAGGCCGCCGTCATTCGGCGGAGGTAAAACCGAAGTACAAGATTTCATGGATTTCAAGGAACAGCTGTACAACATTCTTTCGTATGCTGAACCCAAGTATGCGGATGCCTTTAGGAATCTGGAGAAACTAGAGGACCATGAAGTATTGCCAGCTACTTTCGCAAGTGAAGAACAGCAGGCCATGTCCACGAAGCTTTACTCATTGCTGAGCTCATGGTTGACAGGAACCACGAAGCAGCATGCTCGAGACCCAAGCATTGCTGGAACAAGGAATGGATTTGCTTTGTGGAAGTCATTGCTGAGAATATACCAACCGAGCACTCGGAGTAGAAGTTTAGCACTGATGCAGGCAATTCATGGATACCCGAACTTTTCACCTGGATTGAGTTCTGTAGCACAAATCTCTAAGCTGGAAGAATTGGTCAAGGATTATGAAAGGTGTAGTGGACAAACTTATCCCCGAGAAATTCTTTTATCTAGACTCTTGAGATGTATTCCTAGCCCCTTGAAAGAGCACATTCATCTTCAGCTTACGGACAAAGACTACGCATGCCCAGGTAAAGGAGAGTGTACTTGTTTACGAACGGACAACAAGGAGTTGGATGCCGAATCAAGTATACCAACCTCTGGAGTCTGGACACAGTCAGCAGTGCCTTGGAGCAGTGGAGAACGCACCCGCTGGTGGAGGACACCAAGCGATGGAAGCGAACCGAGTAGAGTACAAAGGAAAAGGATGGAAAGGAAAAGGTACTGGAAAAGGAAAAGGTAAGAAAGGCTATGGCAAAATGTTCGGAGGATTCGGAGCCATGCAAGCAGGCCGAGGATTCAGGTTTGGTCGCGGAAGAGGCAAAGGCAAAGGTCGAGGTAAAGGAAGAGGAAAAGGTAAAGGCAAGAAAGGTGGAAAAGGTAAGAAAGGTAAAGGAAAGAGTAAAGGCAAAGGAAAGAAAGGAAAAGGAGAGAGGCTTGGAAGAACAGTTTGTAGGACATTGTAGGATTTGTCATCAGGAAGGACATCGGGGAAATGAATGCCCCAACAGACATTCTGTTCGAAACGTGGAAGCCGAAGAACAGCCCCAAGCGGAGGTGTATGCAAACAATCCACCGAGCCAAGAACCGTATCCCCGACCTAACGTGGTCAAGACTGGGAGTATAAGACAGACCACTAGCAGGCCAGACCCAAGGATGGTCACCCGGAGAGTAGGAGTAGCAAGTGGCACTCGAGGATACAATCCTAAGCTCTTTTACCACATAGCAACTCCACCGGAAGAATATCCGGAGACCTTCCCGATCAACTCGGAAACGGACGAGGAAGAACTTGACATCACGTACACCCGGACAGTACGTATGGTGCGAGAAGTTGCAGCAGAAACTGCAGAAGGTGATGAAGTCACCAATCCATTTTTCGGCGAACTACCCAGTCCTGGTTTCACAGACTCTGAAGAAGAACGCGAAGATGGTGAACCAACTGGAAACTGCCAAGGTTGTGGTACACGCCTGGAGCCGGTGTGCCAACGAGTGTTGCCAGCAGCAGACAATGGGATTCCACGAGTTCCAGAACATTACCCAGGAGAAGAACATTACCTACGGCAGCAGAGGAAATTGAAGAGTGAAGGTAGACAAGAAAGCAATTGAGGATGCTGTAAAAAGAGAGAATGAGTGGATCGAGTCTCACCTCAATGCAGCAAAGGAGAAAAAGGAGCACGAGGTTGAAAAGGTTCGTATGGTTCGTGAAGAGTTTCATGATGTAGCAGAGTGGTATGTTATGGACGCCACGGATGAAGATGGCGATTGGTTTGTAGTGGATGACCACGAAGTGGTTCGAGCAGTTCAAGTAGAAGAGACTGAACCCGAGGAAGCACTTGAGATCATCATTTTGGATTCAGGATCGGATGCTGGTTTGTTACCTAGGTCATTTCCGAAGGCTTCATGCATCATTGCAGGAAGAACAGGTATCTTGTTGGAGGATGCCCAAGGAAATTCAATCAAGTCAGCAGGAATGGCCACTGCTGCTGTGATCTCTGTGGAACAGGGAGAGGACTGTTGGACAGCCCCTAGTATTTCGGAAAGCTTCATTGTGAGCGATGCAACAAACATTCTGTTGTCAATGGGAAGACTCTTGAAGAATGGCTGGAGACTGGAGTATCAGCCTGAAGTACCTGAGGGAGAGAAAGCTCTTAGTGCTCAATGGAACCGTATACAGTGTCGTCAATGGTCCTGGTCAGCCCAGACGGAAAGGCAAACGCAAGGATCTTTTACAAGCGGAATAGTTGTTGTTTGTTAGGTAGATTATCGGTTGTCGGAAGTGATCGCAACGCCCGTTACAAGGAGTTGAAGGATCGCCCTAGAAATCTCGTGAAGAACCGTCTGCACCCTCGTCACCCTCAAGAGGAATCTACCCGCCGCTGTTGGCAGGCAGGGTATCTCAGGAAGAGGACCCCTTCCATTGGGATGAGCATGAGGATCTTACAGCTGTAGAAGGAG